CGTCACCTTGTCACCCCGTCACCCCGTCACCGTGACACCACGTCACATTGTCACCCTGTTACTCCGTCACCGTGTCAACCCGACACCCCGTCACCGCGTCACCGCATACCCAGTCTCACGACGTCCCACCACCCCACCGCCCTACCACCTCGCCATACCGTCACCATGCCATCCCGTTAACCCGTCAACATACTACCACCACCGCCCACTCTCCAAATCCCGCCTTTTGACCACCCCACCATCCTTTCAGCATCCGTTGCAAAGCCGATCTCCACACCACACCGCTTGGCCATGCAACCTCTCTGTCCTATCGAACCGCAATCTCTCCATCCCACCTCCTTGCTAACCCACTACCCCTGCCTCCCTGTCACCCCAGTACCCCGCCCTCTCACTGCCACGTCATTCTGTTATCTCACCGCCCCAATTACCCCACATTCCCATCATAAGGCCGTTCCTCTGCTCCGCCACTTGCGCCTTTCTCCTACCCCACCGCCATGCCAACTGGCCCTCCCTGCCGCCCTACCATTGCCACGCCGTTCTTCCCACATTATATCCAGCCACCCCTCCGCCTTTCTGTCCCATCTTCGCGCTATCCTGCCGGCCTACAGTCTCGTCATTCGTACTACACACCATTCCCTTGCCCTACCGCTCCTTGCCCCGTTTTTCCTCGTGCTATCTCCGCTGTTCTAGCCGCTCCCCTAACCTTAATACCCCTGCCTCCTTTCACACTCCCCGCTGTCCACGTTGCCCACGGCTCTCCGACCATTTCGCCAGCCGCTGAGACCCAGTGCCTCCCGCCGCCCTCGCCGCCCTCGCCGCCCTTCTCCGAGCGTGGCCGCAAACCTCCGCCCCCGCTGCCTCGACCATGAGTCACTGCCGCCCCCGCCCCGCCCCCGCGCTCCCCTCTCCGTCGCCCGAAGGTCCCCGGCCTCCAGGGGCGATTCCGAGTTAATCGCGTTAGCGGCGGAGTTGGGAATCAACGTTTCTGTAGTTTGACAAGTAAACACGGGACGTGGTTTTGTAACGCGTGTTCGGGCGAGGGGAGGCTCGTAAAAAGTGAAATGTGAAATAGCGGGTTCATATAAGAATGACGCAGCATCACTTCGTTTACACTTCACTCTCTGACTGGCTTGGGAAACGAAGATTAAATGAAGTCCAGGGTGTTTTTATGTGGCATTGGAAATGACGAATCATATTTAAATGCATACTACACAGAACACCAACTAGTTCCAGTTTATTTGATATTGTACTTCTTTGATGAAATCAGTGCTCCTCTGACATTTCTATTTACAATTGCTGATTATAATTCATTACTTATGTGTAGACTTGGAAGTCTACAACCTTTGGAATAGACTTTCGAAATATTATCACTGTTATTCTCACAGGAAGCCGCTTGTGACATTTGCGTTTAAACCGCCTCCTTCCGTAATGGCGATAATTGCCAAGTGCTTACCAAATGTAAAAACGTAGGCGGTATATACTTTATATCTTGTACTTGAAATCGTGGTCGTAAATGAAATGTTTTGATTCTAAACGAGAAACCAACAAACTGTTTTATGATGATCGTTGAACAGGAAGAGATAAAAGTATCTTGAATTTCTATACCCTTTTTACGAGAACAAGTTGACGTGACTTTGAGGCAAATCGTAAAAAGGAGAGATAAATGTGCAACGACTTCTTGGAAGAACGTACAAACGGATAGAGGGGTGTGATTATTATATCTACCTTTTTTGGTTTGGTGCATACTACGCACTCAAATGCATTCTGTGAATACTAACAAATAATAATGAATTTATTAAATTCTATCGTTATTTAAAGAATACATAATTGGATTATTTATTTATTACAATCGTTTATCTGTACTCTGAATTTTATATCAGAATGTCAAACTCGAAGAAATTAATGTGAATAGGTGTAACGTTCATTTGCTCTTAATTATCAATATAAAACTTGAAAATTGAAAAAAATATTTTTAGAATTCGCGATGTTTTCTGGTTTAGTATATGATAGTTCTATATTCGAACAAATAATTCATCCCAGCTACCTCTTATCGTTATTTTTATGTAAAACTTCTTTCAATCCCTGTATTTCGAAAGTTGTACGAATATATTGGTCATAGTTGTAACAAACCTTCTTCCTTTAAACGTATTCTTTTGTCAAAGAAACGCAGAGATGTCAATACCTAGTTCAAATGCTACATTTATATGATGACACATAGTCAAGTAATAAAGTAGTACTAAAGTAATAAATATAGTAACAAATATATTAATAGTTGTTTATCTTACAAGTATCTGAATGAGAACATTAGGTGCAAGTTGAACAAGTTGAATAGTGCGGTAGCGCCATTGTTAATGGGAGAGGTCAATGATAGATAGTTGCAAGGCAAAATCTTGAGTCTTTTGATTTGGAAATAATAGTTATTCTATTAATCGTCTTCACTTTGAGGAATATAGATTTTCATTTTCTCGTCAGAATCTGGATAATATCTAACTTTCGTGACTATAGACATTCATGTATCGCTAAATTTTAATCCCACCTTGCCTCAAAAGTGCATTTGTGTGGAGTATCAATTTTTATCATTGACCACTTCGATTACTACCGAGCACATTTAATTATCCGATAGCTTTTTTAGCATTCTGAATATTTTTTAAACTGTTTAACCATATGACTAATGGTATTGTATTGACATCGGCAGCACCCTTCATTACTTTGGACACAATAATGAGCACCTCTATCTATTATGGGAAGCGTTATAATATTGGATATACATAATAATGATCCATATTATTTAACCCGAACACATAAGGTCCACTGGTATAAAAATTATCCAATGGGGTGTCGATTATAAAAGCATTGGAATGAGCGCAAAAATCAAATTTCAGGATATCGTCACCAATATCTGTCTTTTAGAGCAGCTGTGCTTTTTGTGCCCTAATGCAACCTGTAAAATGTTTGCAGGTCCCTTGCAAGAAGTGAGCGCGGTGGTGGGCGGGACGGCGCTGCTGCCGTGTGACATCGTGCCCCCGCTGCCCAATGACAGCGTCATCCTCGTCATCTGGTTCAAGAACGAGGTCACGCCCATCTACAGGTGAGCTACAAGCTAATTGACGTTGTCATTCATACATCGCGTATTCGTTTTGATTTAAGGGCACTCTTGACTTGCAACGAACTTCAATGTATTTTTTAGTGATGAATGATATCAAGGTGAATTATTGACGTTTATTTTCGTATACAATACTTTCTTTACTAAGAAGTATGAACATGCGTACATTTCACTTGTTACTTCCTCGTGTACGTAGTATAGTTATAATAAGTAAAAAAATTGATATCGAAATTTCGATGGAATTACTTTCGTAGTCAATGCTTGATTCCGAAAAGATATTTCGTTTAAAATTCTGATAGGACCATCTGTCTATCGGCATCATCTCTATCTATCTGAGACTTCCACAGCGTTATTGACACGGAGATAGATTTCAAGTTATTAATAGCATTATTAATACTTTATAAATAATTTAATGCTCAAGCGCTTATTTGTGGTATTATTATTGAAGATATAGATTACTCTCTTAAAGTAATCTGTTGTCTACTTTTAGTTCTTTAATTTAATGAATATAATTTTTTTAAACTTTTAATAGTATTTGAATAATATTTAATCAAATTTTAACAATTTTCCAAAACAAAAACAGTTTTTTTCATTGACTGTTTTAATTGATGTCAAACTTTTTCATATCAAAAAATAGTTTTTTATGTATTTTTGAAGTCTTTATTATAATTAAACTATTAAGGATTCCCTAATAATATTTCATATATGTACGTGTGTATGTGTGTGTGTGTGTGTGTAAGACTTATGTTATTAACATTTTATGAATAATTTAATGATCAAGTGTTCATTTGTGTTTTTTTATTTTAAAAACAAAAGCCCGTGATAGAATTTGAATATCCGTGGTCAGCTCTTAACGCTGTTATTGGCCGCGACGTGAAATCCGAGAAACACGATTTCTTTCACGCTCTGTGGTGAGGTTGCTGTTAACTAACACATTGTTCGTCAACAGTAAACGTCAGTTGGAGGCAACTGTTCCAATGTAAGGGAGCTGGGAACGAATATTCAGCGAATATTCAGCTCGTTTTTATTAGAACGCTATTTTATGAGTGTGGTGGCTGACAGGGATTGCACATTCCGGTCTCATTTCGTGTATCTCTCCATGTCGGTGATATTTTTCGCGTTTGTGCCTCCGCGGAAGGCTCGGAGTGCAGTGCCGGTCGATTTCCAATTACACAGCTTCTCATCACGATGGAGTAATGAGATCGCGGGGGTGATCCATTGGGAGTGCGTTTTAGGGTATCATTTCGTTTCGGTCAAAGGAAAACTGATCTGCGACTTTCCACAATGCTGTAGATCGGGTTTTAAACAGTCTAGTTTGGTAAAAATATAGTGCTGCGGGTGTGTAGTAAACGCAGTTTAGAGGGCATAAGAGGAAAATTGTGGGCTCGTTATTAAAATAGAAACACATGTCCGTTCACATTTACTAACGTATCTGATTAAAATGAGATTGACCAGACACTGTTTTTTTCATTATACGATGTCCTGATGTTTTTAATCATGATAGAAATGACTGTCATTTTGCAATGTGTATTAATCGAAGAGTTATGTGTGTTCATTAAAATTGACTAATATAATTGCCACAAAACAAAACAAAAATTGCAGACTGGAATTAGAGAGAAGCATTATATGAATGCATTATATTAAATATTAATAAACGATCAAATCAAAATGAATAAGTATTGTTCGGTATACAATTGCGAGATTTGTAAAATAAAATTTCATCTTTGTCTCACTGTATTAAAATAAAGGTTTTCCTCTGCCATTCTTAATCACAACAGTGTATTTAATTCATATCCATTTTTACATTCATTTATTAAAATATTGCATAAATTGAAACCTCTCCTAAATGAAGCAATAAAAAGTCTACATTTACACATTGTAACTGTGAACCTCTTCTGAACTTCACACGCTGGCTGAGTAACCTCATATTGCTGCTGTTTCTGCACTGACTCTGACTGTGAGATCCTTTGGTTCGAGTCTCGGCCGTGGCGAGTTTTCGACAAAAGCTAAGGAACTTCATAATATTCAGCCGCTCTTTCGAGGACTATTCTAGCGTCCGTCTACTCTGACCAGTAGTTTTCTCTGGTCTCCCCGATAAATACCAGACGAATGCTGGAGCTGTAAAACGGGCCAAGGACCGCGCGCGGTGTGTCTTACCTCTTCCTTGTCCTATCTTCTCACCTTACACACACTTCACTTACACGCGCTACAGTAGCACACATGTCGAGAGGCCAGTCAGTAGATTGTCATGGCTGTGGGTTAGAGATGGATGGGTGCGCATCTGGGGGAACTATCTTGTGAAAGAAATCCCCCACAAACGGACGAGAAAGTAGTCGCCGAATCTCACCATCCAGCGGGGAAAGAGCCGCCACCTCCCGGGTTCATAACATTCACTACGCTTACAAAACTAATGATCGTAGCAGTTGGCATGCCAGGAAGAATCAATCAATTGACTTAACACACTTAAACCACTGATAAAAATAATAGAACAGATGCTAAAATATTCACAGAAATTATTTCATGGCTTGGTTTTGTTTCTTGTTTTTCTTGAAAGCGTAGAGAGTAATTAGGTAATTAAAGGTTGCAATAAAATATTACTTTTGAGAAACTATCACTTTTAAAAATTTTAAAAAATATTACTTTGAAAAATTGTAACATTTCCCTCTAAATTTAATTTTTTCAGTGTGTACAATTTGCAAAGCTACCCATACGTGTTGTAGGTGAGTGTAATTATTCTCATACGTCAGTTATGTGTTTTACCGTTTTAAACGATTAAAAAATATAATCGTTTATTAAGAAATTTACTGAAGCATTAATCTCTCACGTTGTGCAGTGTGGCACGCAAACATGTTCAATCCAGGTGCGACTATCCGATAACGAGTGCCTAGCCGAATATCCGATAGCCTAATAAGATTTTTAACATCAAATATTGTCAGTAGTTCAATACCTCTTTAATAGAATGTAGATATTTTATTTTTCAATGTTATAATTTTAGAGAAGGGCATTTTTCAGAACTATTATTGAACATTTTCGAGAAATATCTCGAAAGCTCGTACTATCACAGGAAGGTTCTCGAGGCAAAATTTGGAGAAAAACGCAAACGATCCCGATTGGAACAAGCATTCAGCAGCCGTTTGCGAGGAAACGCGGAGACGTTTCTCGAATAGCAGGTTGACAATCACGCCCCGCCAATCAGAACCCGGCCCTTAGAGGCCTCATCTCGGAAGCCAACTGGCGCTGTTGACCACGCTCCTGGGGCAGTGAGCCCGCGGTTCTTAGCAGCGACAACGGCGCATTTTCCTTTTTCTCGGGACGCGTCCCATTCATTTCGCAGCGGAAACACTCCGTCTGTTGCCTCGCAAAGGGGAGTCCTTCGCGGGGGAGGGGATGGGGGCGAGCAGCCACTCATTTGTTGAGAGAGCTCCGCCACAGTGCGCTGGGGCCGGGGCGTCGCCCTTCCCCGACCCTCTCCTTTCCCTCTCTCTCTCCCACGCTCCCTCCCTTTGGTTGCGGCCGCTGTGGCGCTTCCTTTTCCTTCTTCGTGGCTTCCTATTTCGGAAGACGTTGACCGGCAGAGGTGGCTCAGGACTTCAACTGATGACACTGCAGTGCCTCTGACCCGGAGGTCCTAGGGGTCGAGTGCAAGATTTTCGAGCTATGTCGAGTTCAGTTGCTGTCTGATTGTGAATTCTAGCGGCCGGCTGCTCTGATCGGGAGTTTTCTGTTGTTGTTTTTTTTCGATATGTACGAGGTAAATGCCAGATCTGTACTCTCACAAACGGGACACGGACCGCGCGCCTCTTCCTTGCATTATTCTCACTCCCTTACTTGCACACAATCACACACCCTTAGACGCACTACAGAACCACATAGGTTGTGAGATCAGTCAGTCACCTGGATAGAGGTGCGTATGCCCACGTATCTGTCAGCGCCGGATCTTGCCATTATGCAGGAAAACACAGCAGTGATAAAACATGCACTACACTTACGGGAATACCAATAATTTATCAGTTGACGCTTCTGGAAATACAAGTAATCAATTAATGAATAAGTTAAAAACGTTGACACTCTGACGATTCCTGCTCGATCTTCGCTTTGAATTACTTTACGCTCTCAGTTTCTCCTGTCCAGTAGTTGCTCTGTCCCGTTTGGTCCTGTTCCACTCGTTGCTGAAGATTTGAGTACTACTCCGCCCCCCCCCCGTTCGCCTTCCCAAGCAACACTCTTGCAATGACGTACTTCTAAATTATTACTTAATTGCATTTTTTAATTACACTGACCTGATTTTTGTATTAACATGGCAGCAATGTTCCTACTGCTTTTGCAACGGTCTTTATTCCCTCATTCCTTATTTTGTTCTCACAATCCTCTTTGGGACATTATCTTTTCTATCCTTTATTTTAAGCTTACGCTTGTGTCCATTTCTTATTTTCTTCCCTCTTCCATCAGATACCGTCAACTTTACAGCCCATGCCATCAACAGTCCTCATCTCAACATCTCCCGCTGCTTTAGCCCATAATTCACTCGAACTACCACTTCCGTAGCAGCGACCTCCTCGTTCCTCATCCTTGGCCTTCGGTTCTCCCACTCGTCCCCTGCGCCTTCAATCCCGCGGAGCGGCGTCTCGGCTTAATTACTCTTCGCAATCAGTCGCCCCGCCCCCTCCTCTTCCCCCCTCCCTCCCTCCCCTATCGGGCCCCGAGGCGCTCGCCTTGCTCTGCCTCGGGTCTTCCCGGAGCTTCCTGTCCTCCCGAGTCGATGTCGCGAGAACTTGGACCGCAGTTACGCTCTCCGCCGCCGCGAGCGCCTTCGCCGAACATCCGCTCCCTTCTACAGTGAAACCTCTGCAAGGCGGAACCTCTGTGAGACGGAAACCTACCTTTCCGGGCAAAAAAGTCTCAGAACGAAACGATTTTAATTGAATTAAATTGCTACGTGAAGATTTCATTTGTGAAAATACAATTTGA